AATAAGACGAAGACAAGCCAGATAGTAGCTGTTTGGCAGGAGGCCCAAAGCCCGCCTAAGCTCCAACTCTTTGCCTGTTTCTAGGACAATAAAAAGTTATGCAGGTGTCAGCATTTCCAACATGGCGACTGCCGTCATTGGTCTTCATAACTCCTCTTCAGAAACCAATGGATGATGTCACTGAGACCACGTCCATGTTTTAAATAGTTTATGATCTGGAGGAGTTTTGACAAGGGTTGTGGAAAAACTATTAAACAAACTTAAAGTAACGATATCTCGTCCTGTGCTGTTCAAATTTTGACCTTTTTTTTTAAGTCTGTCTTCTAACTTTATAGTTTGTAAAATCACTACAGCAGCTCATGGATATCCTCCACGTGTTTATGCCAATTAGGGTTGTCACAATACAGATTTTGAAAACTTTGATTAAATTGTAGTAAAAATTGTAAACACATCTTAAAATCACTGATACCTGTGTCCATGCCATGGCAACAAAAACAACCTATGCAACCAATATTGAGTCATTTCTTGTGTAAATTACCAACAAAAAAAACATCAGGAAAACTCCAGCACTCTGTCTTTTTTAAAGCTTCAGTGCTTTTCCATTCTATCGATCATTTAACAACAGAGATAGTATCTTTGCACATAGCTGTATCGAAAATCATTGAAGTATTTAACATTTCGACAACTACAGTATAATGTAAACTTCCCGCTGTGAGGGACATCCAAAAAGAAAGTTGGGAGACTATAAGGCGTTCCTTAAATCCCTCCAAACAAAAAGTTTCACGAACGTGTTTCAAATAGTTTAGGAGTGCATCAACTGACCAAACACTGAGGAGAATGAATTCAGCCATCGCACACAGCAACTCCGTCTTTGTGATCTTGGCACAAACAAATACCCCCCCCCCCTTAAATGACTAGAGGGATTTAGACAAATCGAGGCACCACAGGCGCTCAGAGATAAACCCGCTGGTTGGACCATGTAAGGCCTTCAAAACAAACAGCAAAAATTTTAAACACAATTAACCTCACAGGGAGGCAGCGTAGTGAAACTAAGACCGGTGTGATGCGGTCTGTTTTACTGGAGCCTGACAGAAGCCAGTCCAGAGATTATGGATGAGCTGTAAACAAGAAAGAGGTCTGACTGATCCAAAGCATTAAGGGAATGTCAATAATGAGCAGGGATGACGTTTTCTCGGCTTTAAGAGGAAGGTAGTGGTAGTGCCACCCCAACCCCCTCAATAAAAGTTGATGGAAACAGGTTGGGAAGACCAAATTCATCCACATGATCGTCCAATTTCTGGTTTAAATAAAGAGCTCAGTCTGGGCTATTTGGACAGAAAGTGAGTGTTGGAACGTAAGACCCTGATGTATGTGGGCTTAAAAACATAATTACTCGGATTTCTCTTGAGAAAAATTTAAACCAATACAGTATCTTTCCTCGACAATAGAGTCCTTAACTGCTGCAGGGTTGATTGAAGTGTTAAGCTGCAAAGGTACTCATAAGTCTGTCCACTGGTATTAAAAACAACTTGGCAATCTTCCTCAGTTGGAAAATCTAAAATTCCACAACAAAAAAAGCCAAGGAAGTCCTCCCAAGTAATGCGATAGTTCTGCTGCACAACTACATTTCGCCCATTTATCGGCCAGTGTACTTAAATGCATCTTCCAGAAGTGTATAAATACATGATAGGAGAAGAGAAGACCCAGGGGGGTGCTCGAAGGAAGAATTAAGTTTCCAGTTGCAGGAAATGAAGTGGATAAGTAACACGAGTCTCAGACGTCGACTTGGACATAATCCTCTGGCTTTACTGAAGGCTGTGTATCTAACATATTTTTCTGTAGTAGAATATCTATGAAGAGAATCTGGCCTTGGAAGATTTGACATTCCTTTACTTGTGAATGTGATATCACGGCTGTGTCACAGAAGGTTTTAATAAGCCTGATATGAGGAAGCTTACAGAGGGTTGAACAGGGAATAAGTTTCAGTGAAGCAAGAGAAAAAGAAAAATTGAGCACAAGTAAAACTCAATATGTTGTCGCCTACAACTGGCAGTGAGTGTCGTGGGATTAGTTGCAGGGCCGCAGGCTGTTTTAGATTTACTCTTTCTGTGTTTACTTCTTCTTTTCAGGAACTTTGACATGCCGGCTACTCCCACGGTGACTTGCAGCTGGCGTCGATGCTTTCAAGCAAACAAACCGCGAGTCGCTAAGTAAATATATGAGTGTTGATTTGTTTTTGTCTTGTTCAGTCTGTGAATGTGATTTTCTGTACTGTCTGCGTCAGTGTGTCACACCGGATTTTTGTGCCTGATTTATTCTAAAAAAACAAAACAGGACTAAGCCCAGGAGACAATGTCACAGAAAAAGGGATGCATTAATGTGACAATGCTGGACAACATAATGATGAATAAACAACACACTGGGTGATAGAGGAACTCCTACATGTCACAAGATTGCTTTGATTAATGCCTCAACGGTCAGTGAACAGGGTCAGAGAACAAACGAAGAACGGTGTTACAGCTCCTCCTGAAGACTTCTTTAACGATAGCTGCTGCAGCAAAAAAAAAAAATAAGAGGAAGAGAAAATCCTTCCAGAAAGAGAAAGAAAAGAGTGAATTCAGGACGATGTATCACAGAGGCAATTAAGGGCTGAGCTAAACAGCTCCTTGCAGACTCGCAGCAGAAGACAGAGAGACCGATCCCCTGCGGTGGAAGTTACATGAGGTCAACTCTGCGAGAGTCTGCCATTTGGCCAAAGAACCACCCCTGTATCGCTGCCACCAGACCCCTGCGGAGAGGCTGTTTAACACTTGTGGCAATATTGTGATTTGTCATACAGTGGGTCAACGCCAAGGCCAGGAGACGAGGACAGGCTTGTTTCTGTGGCACAAGTTATCTTTGCTTGCTAATTTCGCTGCATTAACAAGGCAGTTGTTTTTCTTTTTCTGATGAATGTGTTTTAAGCACAGAGTTACAAAAGGTGTATTTGGCACTATAAAGTGCTGCTTTACTTTCAAGTGCAGCCATGTGAAATGAATGTGGACTCTAATTTTGCAGACAGTTCATGTTAAACTGTATTACATAACAGCGGGGGGCATTCTGCTTTCTTGTTTGACATTTCCAGTCTGAGGGAAACTTTGCTTTATGTGCAGTTAGAGAACAAAAATGATAAAAGTTAATAAATACAAAAATCAAGTTTTAACATTGCTGTAACTTTTAACTCTTTCACTGTGGAGGCAGTTCATGTAGTTCAATAATAACCACGATCACACTTACAAAGTTGAGAAGACACTGACAAATCCTAACCCTATAACACTTTTCTACGACTTTGAAAAAAGAAAATTTATATTTTATAATCCAAACCGGGCCTATAACACTTCTTGAACATATTTTTCTTACACCAGGATGGACTTTGAACATTATTTTGGAGGTATTTACAGTAAAAGAAAAGTTATAATCAATCCCTTTTAAACCATATGAAGCTCTTTTGTTTTATATTCTGCGATGAGTAAAGCAAAAACGATCCACATTCAAATCAAACTGGACGAAGTTCAATCAACTTAAAGACGGGTCCGAAACTTTTATTTGCAAATCAAAGTTTTACGTTTGAATTAAAGATTTGGTTCTGGTCGAGTCCTTCTGGTGGAATCCACTGAGGATTTCAGATATTTCGAACATTTGATACTTCTCAGTCTGTATTGATCGATCGTATCTTTGAGTACCGTGGTTATGAAAAACTGAGCGAAATAGAGGAAGAGGAAACCGTGTGTGAAAGTTTGCAGGCGTTAGCCTGCATTTTTTGACTAGACAAAATGAATAATCAAAGATTCAATTAAATCCAATTTTGTTTGTGTGGCACATTTCACACAAACCTATAAACATATAAAGTCAATGTGCCTTACGGAAGACAGACAATATTGGGTGCCTACGAGTTCTGTTTTCGTCACTGTGGTATCGATGTTGTTTTATTTGTTCCAGAATAGTTTAGTAATCATTTTGTATAATGACAGAGAGTATTTCTTTGTGTGTGAAAACTCTAGTTTCTACACTGAAAGATGTCAGTCGTGTCTTTTAGTCACTGCTGGCCAACATTAATGGCAAACGTCGCAACATCTTGGATGCAAAAAAAACCTTTATGAATTTGAAACCAGAACTTTTCAGTTAATTACCGGTATACAACATTGTGGATGTAAAATAAAATGTCTTTGATTTGACAAACATAAAGGACTGATATCTTTTTAGAGTAACCTCACCGACACGTTGTTTTAATTGAGAACCATGTGGCCACCCCATATGAAAGATAGCTGCAGGGAAGTTAGCCCCTAACACCCTTCAGCAGCAGAGCAGAGCGGGAGTCTGGATTATAGCCTGAGGGCAGAGGGAGGGTTTCACATCTCTTCACCACCTTGTCTGGATTACAGGTTTGAATTTGTCATGGGCAGACACACACAGCCAGAGATAGAGCGGGGGGGGGGGGGGTAGGCAAACAGGGGAGCATCGCATTAAGAGCACTCCTCATGTGTTCTTGCTTTTTCTGCTTTTACTGTCCTTAAAAAATCTTCTTTATCACCACTAACTACTCAAACAAACGTTTCCCAGGATGACTCAGTGGTAAAATATTCTAGAAACCATTTGAAGTTTAAATGAAATAGAGTCTCATCTACTCTGTAAAAGTATTACAAGCTACTTAAAATTCAAGTTGCTGTGAGGACAAACCACAGAAACAACACATTTCTGTTATCTCTCTTCAACATTGGGTTATAAAATCCTGATTAAGCATTCAAGATCAAACACTGGAGCACAGAACGCTCTTCTGTCTTGATAATGAAATGATGTTACATCTACAAAATGAAATGATATCTGTGTTTGAACTACTTCTGACAGAAATATGACCCAGGAGGCCTTAAAATCTGATTGTTGCACATCTTAGCATAAAGTCTTCTAAGGTCTAAATGGTAGGAAATTAAAAAAAAACATTGAATTCTGGTTGGTAGACTCACCAGAGGCTGCAGCAGTGATGCACAGGAGCAGGACAAACCACGTCGTGTAGCCGTCCATCTCTGCTCAGTTTTAGGTGTTTGGTTTGTAGGAGCTGGGTCGGGGGTCTCTGGAGGATGTGAACGTAACCGTACAGAGGTTGAATTGTCCTTGCCTGGTGGCAGAGCAGCAGTGACTGTGGAAGCCGAAAAGCACACAATTTAAGTCTCTAGATGTCAAAGGTCTGCAAAAAAAAAAAAAGAGGGCGGGAGTAAATGAGGAAATGTGATAGATGATGAGTAAGCAAGTAGCTGTCCAAACCAAGAATATGACTTTTATTCTGAGGGTACAATGTTTAAATGTTTTATTTAGGATACGTTTAGAACACATTTATAGCTTCTGGTGTAAATTAACAATATGTATGGTCTAAATAATTGTGATTTACATTCATATTTAACAAGCAAGAGTACCCTCAAAGATGTTAGATCAAATGCTACCTCCGTGCAGCAGAATAAACGAATACAAAAAAGGTCACTGGTCAATTACACAATCTATTCAACACTGACATGTTGATCAAATGTCTCAAATTCCTCCAGTGGGATGACAGGATTTTCCTCCAGAGACAGTCCCGGCAATATTTCAGTCCCTTTTCCTGGTGCACAATGAGGGGTCAGAACCCAAGGGTTATCTGCTGGTCACTAACTTCTGGCCGGCTCAGTCAGGAAGCTGTACACTGTGCAGTCCTACAGCATGGCTTTCTTTAAATAATATCACAATGCCGAGATCAGATAAGAGGGAGGCTGCGGCCCCCTGTTATATGATTCATATAGAGGGAGAGGAAGAGCCTGTGTAAACTGTTTATGCACTTTCAAAAGAAAAACAAAAAAAAAGTCAGGTTATTTCCCGGACTTTTAATGAAGCTGAGATGTGTCTTGAACGAGCTTTAAGGATATCATTGATGATTAAGAACTTAAACATAACGGGCTTAATTTGAGAGACAAGGCACTGATGAACAATGAAATTATCACAGTCTGATATTCACAACTTTTTCGGCCATAGCTCCTTGTTTTAAACAATCAAATAATTAAAATGTGTTCGGTTATTCGGCTCACATGTGTGATGAAAAACGGAATGATGGAGCACTAAAGACAAGAGAAGAAAAGCTACTGAAATGAAAGCAATCAGGGAAATAAAATAGACAACACGGAAGTAAAAAAAACAAACTAAAACACTTGTGAAGTAGAAAATGTACTTACTAGATTAGGGGTTTTCTTGAATAACGCTGGCTCTGTGATATAATCCACGGGAGACCGTACGGTTGCGTTCAGCGGTGTAAAAGATGTCAGGACTTTCCAAAACTTTTTTTTGTGCTGCTGCTGGGCGGTGCAGTTTTACTTTTGTACCCCTCCCACCAGACTTCTTCTTCTTTTCTTTTTTTTTCTTCTCCAAGTAGCTGCTTCCCCTGTAAAAGCATTGTCTGTTCAACACAGTCTATAAATAAAGTAAAATCATTAATGGAAATGTAATACTCAACCCAGTTTATTCACATTTTATCGTTCTGTTATTTATAATCACCCCCCTTACTGTTTGGCTATAGTTTTTTTTTCAGAGAAAAGTTTGCATTATAGGATAGGATAATACTTTATTGATCCCCAGAGGGAAATTCGGGCGTTACAGAAAGAAAGACAAGAAAGCTCAAAATACACATTAAACAGAATAGATAAGATAAATACAAAATGAATGATGAAGTTAACTGGGGGGAATTGAGAATTGAGACAGTATAACTTAATTGATCAGCTGAAGTGGAGATACAGGTGAGTTTATGGGGAAAACAGTTAGTGAGCCAGTGTGCACAATAAAGCTTTTTACACTGGACATTTGAACAGCAGTAAAAAAAGCACGGATGACACAAATTTAATTTAGAACTCATCATTTGCCCAGTATAAACTAAATGTAATACAGTTTCTGTTATCAATCACACCTGTTGTTGTTTTTTGTTTGTTTTTTGCTATTCCTGCAGTGAAAAATAGCAGGTCCTGAAACAATTTAGTAGAAATCCAGCCATCATTAATATTCTATTATTTACACCTGAGCTTGCCAAAATGTTTTCCTCAAAATAGATCAATCAGGATCAGTCTGTGTGTGCTCACACAGGCTTGAGATGTGTAATAAAACAAAACAAGTGAAAACACCTCTGTAGGTGTTCTGTTATTGTCAGGGCATTGTCACAAATGATTAACAAAAGAGATACTTGTAATTCTTGTGACCTCACTTGATGTTCTTTGTGTTTAAGTTGGGAACTGTGCAATCAGTCCATCAACATCTTACTGGAAGATTTTATAATTCATTTAAAATAAACTTTTATGTTGTATATTTTATCTGCAACTTAAAGATCTGACTATTATTGCATGGTCCTTGATTTATAATGTACTTGATTTTTTCTAATGTAACTTAAAATTTTCCCCTTGGGGAAAAAAAGGAAGTTGTAGGAACAGCATTTGTCTGTGGCTACTGTACCACTGGTACTTTCTCAGGAAAGTAGACTGGAGCAGAGAGTAGACACAACATCCTTTCTGTACGGACCAGACTCACAGGAGTCATCATCACATCAAATCAACATTCAACACAAAGTCTTTTGGAGTGGAAAAGAAGCCGAGAGGAAAATAACACATATAGACTAGACTTGTGGTTCTCAACTGGTGGGACGGGACCCAGAGGTGGGTCGCGGAGCCATTTTCAGTCGGGCCGGAATATGTGGCGTCCCACTGTTTAAAAAGTCTGGGAAGCACTTTTTAAACATGTTTATTTTGTTCAGTTTCTTACTGTGTGTCGTTGCTGATTGGTCGAAAAATATCTGAAATTTGGGTCCCGATTTTCCACAGAGGAGTGGGTGGTTGGTCCTGAGGCTGGACAAGTTGAGAACCACTGGAATAGATGATAACAATGCAACAAAATCATTTGGAAAAATTGCGAAAGTTCAGTAGAAGGCAAAATTACAGACACAAATGACTCAACAGTAACTCTGTCCATTATGTCGGTGTTTTGGTCAAGTGTATTGTCTTTGTTGTATTTTACAAAACAGGAGAGCAGAAGCAGGATAGATTCAGTTCAATATGCTCTTGAGTGAGAGAAGGTGGTCAAGATGTTTTCACTGAATTTTGTTCCCAATCCTTTAATAGTTTTTAGTGTATTATGTGACTTTTTGATGCTGCATGAACAAACTGTACCCACAGAAAACAGCCAGTCTGTGTATCGGCAGTTATCAGCAAGTTAAGTGTCACCTTACAGCGGTTACAATTCAATACACTGAGATGTATTGAGAGACTTTAAAAAATAATCACAGGGGAAATTAATCACCCACTCAAATTTAAGTGCTTACTTGATGTTTTTGCTAAATTACACAAGCACAAGCTACCATCAAATAAAACATATGCCGACATCATTTCAAGTTAGACGTGAAATTATTGATTTTTTTTTGCACTCAGCAGACCAAATCATTTTTATCCATGTTACAGATTGCAGGTGCTTAATGCCCAATTGGACTAATAGACACGTGCAGGTGTTACTATCCCACTGTGCTTTAACAACTGTTGTATACAGACAGCCGTGTTGTCTCAGACTGCTTAATATTCTGCTCATTAACTCTGAACCTCACTTGACCTCATTCCTTCAGGCAGCATGAACAAAGAAATGCACCCAAGTAGAGACAGTTTCTTCCCTACTTGTACTCTGTGTTACTTTAAATGATTGCAATCCTCGAGCAGTTGACACAGCTTGGATTAAGTTGCTGAGGCATATGTCACAGTTGGCATTCATTTCGGGTGCTCCATCACATCTGAGGCTTGGCCAAAGGACACTCCTACAGTAGCACTCTCCTTCAATGGATTTCCTTTTTTATTGGAGCATAGCCCCGACCCTCTACCCCCGCCCATGAGTAGTGTTTCAATAACAGGAAACAATCGGCCATCGTCTTTCATCATAGGTTGACGTTGGTTCCCGCACAGTGCCACCGGGGTCTCTGTGGTGCCAGCCATCCAGTCAGCCGCAGTCCATAGCCGAGAAGAGAGAGAGGGGGGAGAGAATGAAGTGTATGCTGCAGCTTAGTCGTTTCCTTATCGTCCTCCAAGGGGGGATCTGACGCATGGCCTTGCGGCGCTAATATCCAAGACTGATAGAAGAGGAGCATAAGCCTTTCAGCTGTTACCATGTCATAAAACATCCCATTTGAAAAAGATCATGTCTGACTTTTAGTTATAAGTCAGGCTTTTGCTGCAATTTGAATTCAGTTTAGTGAGTGGTCCTTTCAAAGCTGCCTTTAGTTGTCTGTGATTGTGCATAAAGGGTCATTCGTTCAGCATGCAAGCTGTGTTTTGTCCCACATATCACCCTCAGATGGTTAAATGTGGTCACACCACTCCCGTAACACACTGCATGATCAGATAATATATGGCCTTTGGACATAGAAGTATACTGTATATGTTTAAGGTCTGGCACCCAAGGCTACACATCCGTTTTTTCACACATGACACTGTGAATATGGTGATAAATCAAGTTGTCACCTGAACATTTCTAGAAAATCATGGGGATAAACTTGGTACATCTACATGTTGTATTTTGTGGCAAAAGATTAGCTTTTTGTTTTCATGGCTAATGCTGCAATTAACCTATCTGCTTTAATTTAAAATGTTTTAATATAGATTAAGTACATTTGATTTGATCGTACAAAATAGAGGCTTGATGTGATGTATATTGACTAAACTCTGTATGAAGTTTAAATGGTGCATCTCCATGCTGTGACCACAGGGGGTCAGAAAAGTTCTCAATAGGGGATTTAAGCAGTGCTCACTTAAACTCAGTAAACTGAGGTTCAAGATCCCTGGATTGCGGCACTGTTTCCTGTCTACCCCCCCCCATAGACATGAGTCTTTTTTTTCTCTCTGCTGTACGTGATGAATACCACCGCCATCTCCTTTCTTCCCCTTTTGTTTTGTACCTCCATGAGGTAAGCGCTGCATTCCAAGCATTCAAGCAGCATCCTTGATGACTTTATGAAGGTGCTTACAGACGCCTTTTCATGATTGACTTTCCGATAGACACATCCTGTCCTCCCCCCCCCCTTCTGGAGCTGCTTTCCTCTTCCTCGTCCCTGTGGCGCAGAGTCATGATCAGAGCGCTCCTTTGAGGGAAATCCGGATACCTGCAGCAGTGCTTGCTTGGCCAGCTGGATGTGTATTCGTGTGTGTTTGTGTTTGTGGGATAAAGGTGAGAGGTAAAGGAAGACCTGTTGGTCACCAGGGGCTCAATGGAAAAGTTGTAATAATAACAGTGGTGAACCATGGCTGTAGCTGTGTGTCCGGCATCCTGTTGTGTCTGCTGCTCCAGCACCTTGACCATGTTTTTCTGCATGGAGAAGCTTTTCCTTTAAACTTTAAAGCATTGTCATAGTCTCTTGTTTGTGTACATGGTTGTCTAGGACAATTCACAATGTCACTTCTTTTGATAGTGTAGCAGCAAAATAGATTGAATGTCAGTGAGGAATTTTCAAACACTGATACCACTAAAAAAGTTTGAAATACTTGTTTTCCTTAAACTTTAATTTTCTTTTTGTCACATATACCACTTTAAAGACGCATGTACATCTTGATAAAAAGAACGAGATCATTTATGTGCTTTGATAAAGTTGTAAATGTATGGAATCCATAGAAAAAATAAAAATTAAAGATCTGTCAACGCACACGTGGGCAGATGTTTCCCCACTGTGTCCATGGTGGTCGAGCACTACCATTGTTTAATGGCACAATCATAAAGGTTTCTTTTATTTTCCCATGGACTCTTAAAGACGGGGTTAGAGATGGGGAAAGGATTGTTAAAAGTGCAGGTTTTCCCCAAAGTGAGCATGATGCCTCAAAGATTAAAAAGCTACGGTATATAATAATATTTTAAATGTCTCTTGGATACATCAACATACATGTTGAGCACAGAATGGAATCAATACTTGTGTTTAGTAACAAATGCTTCTCCATATGCTGCTATAAGATTCATAGTAGCTTGAGCTTCAGACTGTCTACGCCTTTTGCTTCATAGGAGTAGAGTTAAGGCGTTGTTGATCCTTAAAGGCCCTCTGGGTTTTTACCCTGGCAGAGTGGAGGAGGGCACCAACTCTGTTGTTCATGTTTTGTCCTTTTTAAAAAATGGTTAAACATCAGAAAAATAAAACGGCAAGAACCAGACACAGCTCAGTTACGTTGTTTTACTACAGTGCATCAATAGCCTTTGAGACTTGGCCGAAGACCTCATCGACTGGCAGCTCAGAGTCCACCTAGGCAGAGCGAGACAAAGGACCACAATGCATTAGGGAATATGTTAAACTTTACACTTTACACAATTTTCATTAGTTTTTCCTTTTTTCACTATCATGAAGTGGGACTGGCAATTAATCGTAACAGTGATAAAAGCAGAACACATCGCAGAAGTCTGAATTGAGCATTTCTAACTGAGCATGTGAACATTTTAGCAGTTGGATGGAGGCATCAGTATAATGTAAATTCGTTCACATTTTAATGCAGTCAGATGAAGCTAAGGTTATCAGCTGCCCTCGGCTACTTGGGGCCAATTTAGTGTTGATAAAAAAAAATGCAGTTTGGGGTTTATTTTGGATTCAGGAGAAATGTGCTGCAAACACAGATATTGTGCAACAACATATGAAGAACAGCAGGTAGATAAAAAAAACAGACTCAAAGCTATAATGTACAATTCAATAATTCAATTATTGAATTGCCATACAGTATTAACGATGTGATTGCACATGGCTTGTTAGTCTCAAACATAAAAGGCGTGCATGGTGGTTGTACTCACTTTCCTGACAATGCCACGACCCTCGTAAAAAGCGATGACTGGCTCAGTTGCTTTGTAATACAAATCCAGGCGCTTCTTGATCGTCTCCTCGTTGTCGTCGGAACGTCCGCTGGTCTCGCCGCGCTTCAAAAGCCTCTTGACCATGGTCTCACCTTTAGCATCGACGTACAGCAGCAGGCAGGGTTTGCCGATCTGAGGTCACACACAGAACGCTAGATTAAGTTTTTTTTTTTTCCCAGCGATTGTTGAATGAATTATAGAGCGGCACTTCATGCCCTCGCTTACCTTCTTCTCAAACTCCTCGCCCTGCTTCACCTCACGGGGGTAGCCATCAATAAGGAAGCCCTTGGAGACATCAGCCTTGGCGATCATGGCGTCCTTAATCATGTCTAAGACTGTGTCCTGAAAGCAGACCCAAACAGTGTAATCAACCTTCACGATGACACGGCACTCCTAGTGGAAAATACACTCAGGCGAGCCGCGAAAGTTTTATTACACCAGCAGGTGCTTCCGTTATTTTGTCCAGTACATAAATATCAGTAAGTGCTTGAAAAATTACAACCCCCTGTAAAATGCAATCAGCTCAACTGAAGCACATAGTATACACCCTCTAAATGTTCATGAAGGTAAATCAAGACTTCTCTTGGTGTCAACAAAGGCTGAACCTGATTACACACACTTATAGTATGTATGTTTGATTTCAATAAATAGTGTTAGCTTCAATGCACACAATAAGAAACATTTGACTGAATATACACTGTAAGGACATGATATTAAAAATCTAACGATATAGTTACCTGATACCATGGCAACACAAATCCTGCACACTGCCTAAATTGCACAAAAAGATTTGCAACTTTTCGAAAAGGTTTCCAATGTATTTGGGCGATTTAGACAGTGTCACCTCGTCAGCTCTCTGTCTGTTTGTAAGAGACATAAACTGTTGCAGCTAAATGAGATGCCAAAATGACTAGAGAACTTGTCAATTTGAATGCTCTCTCTTTCTTTTGCTCATGGCAGCTTTGGGTGAAAAATATGACTGAAGAGCTGTAGTTTTTTTTTTTTTTTTTCAAAGCTTTGCTACTTTGCAATACTATTAATGGTATCGTTTTGAAACCCATGGTATCAAAAAGTGTTCAAGCATTATGACAACCATGCCAAGGATTTTGATTTTTCTTCTCTGTGCACACATTCTTTTGGGGGATTTTGTCTTTATCTATATCCTTGCATTGTAGTTCCAAGAACTCTAAAATGATATTATACTTTCCACATTCTTACCAGGGGCACAAGCTCTCCCTTCTGCATGATGGCCTGGAGCTGCTTGCCCCTCTCAGAGCCAGAAGCCACCTCAGCACGGAGCAGATCCCCAGATGACAGGTGGGTGTAGCCATACTTTACAACTATCTTCTCACACTGGGTGCCCTTTCCAGAGCCAGGCCCACCTGAAAATAACATGAAAAGCATCTGTTGAGAAATGCGAGGCACGGCTCTGAAATGTGTCCTGAGTGCAAAATGAGACAAAATCCTGACAGCACTCACCCACAACGAAGATGATCTTAGCGTCTTTGATTTTGTCTGTAATAAGCACAAAAGTTTGAGTCAGCATGTGTTAAAAGAAAAGCCTTCCTCTAGCTTCTGGACAACATAAAGTGAATTTAAAAACGCATATATAACAAACCATATCGACTGTCACATGCTGAGGAATCAGAGTTAGTACATGTATTTCCCATCTTGTCGTTGCGACGGGATGTTTCGCCCTGGTTGACTAGGCTCTTTTGACTTTCCTTGCCTTAGTGCAGGTTTGTGATACCACTCAAACAGTGTTGCCATGGCAACTGTTGTCACATAATAATGTTATGTAGCCAGGTTAAACTGATCACAGGACACTACAGGAAAAGTCTCGTGTATACATTTCACAAAGAAAGAAAAGGTGTAAACATGTTTGGTCTAACTCTTCACTATATTTTATGATCATGTGTGGAACTGCATGATTTGGTAATGACATCATTAAACATTCATGTGTTTTGTTAATTTAGTGTAATACATTTTTTTATATATAGAAATAAAATATGATATGAATCTGTTTTTTTTTTAATTTAAGAACTCAATTGCATTCTCAAAATTTAACAGAAGAGGGCAGTAGAGTCTAAGAAAATGTTTTTCTTCTTCTATTTGACCTCTTTTTATTATTATAGTGAATGCTTGATATAAATAATACCAGTTAGAATGATTAATCATCTTTAATCTTTCATAAAAAAACTTTTTTTACCTGCCATTGTGTTGTGTTTAGATGAGGTTTTTCCTTCAACTGTAAGACAGAAGGAAGAAAAGTCAATTACATTACAGCAGAAACTAAGACAAAATGCATCTCTAAAATCAATTAAATACAAATATTGATGGATGAAATAGTTAGGGGTTTATACATTACAACTTGGACCTCTAAGTAAATTCTCATTTATATTTCAAAAGACTACTCCAACATTTTAAACATGCCTTAAACAGCATAATCATGATCATACGACCATTTCCCCAAAAGCATTTCCTTTGTTACATAACTGTGTTATTCTAATGGGCAGTTCTAACGCTCTACCATTATCTGCTGCTACACAGAAACTCACTTCTTTGACAGTATCCTGCTCTTTGTGAACTGGGTTGCCTGCAATATCCTAATTTTTAAACTAAAATAAAAAGCTTCTGTAGAATAGAAGTACCTCTAAGCATTGGTAAAGGTATAGACAGGTTTCACACAGATGTTCTCTTATCAGTTTAAGGAACAGTAATGATGATGATATTCATGTGATGTACAGTACATGTAAGTTAGTTTTTTTTTTAGTCCCATCAAAACCTCTTTTAAAAATGAAATTTATAACTATTTGAACATTTTGCTGTGGGAAATGTAAAGAAAAACATTTTTTCCCGGGCTGTTACTATCCTTGCCTGACACAAACCCTGGCAGATGTTTCAGGTATCAACTTGACCATAGAGAAACGTTCAGTGCTGCTAATACTGATGGACTTATTTGCTTTTTGGAGCACATAAAGAAGCATCAATAGTGATGTCAGTCTGTTTCATAACCAGCTAAAACTCCTCACAGCAGCTTTAAACAATAATAATCGACTCAAAGTAACTGTTACCACGTTTCATCTGGTGTAAAATGTGAGTTGCTAAATTACATTAACAATGTACATTTTATTTTTACCGATTGTCGATACAATTAATTCATTAATAAGTGTTCTACTTCGGCTCCGCTGCAGGTGTGTCTTTCCCTGTGGATCCGCTTTCACTCACCACTCTGTCTCACCTATGTCCCGCCCACAATGATATCCTATTGACTAGACGTCAAACGAGCAATGGCCAATCAACACTGAAGCCTCTGTGTTTCTGACATGCACAGAGGCGAGAGCAGCCTGTAGCAGGAGGAGAGTCTCCTGTTGAGCATTTGAAGTCTTGTGTTGGAGTTTGTAATATTCAATATTCTAAACTTTGACAGAAAGATTTTAACTTTTACTGTTCCAAATATTAATTGTTTGTCCCTTGAACTACTAACTATCGAACTCAGCGGTTCCCAAGACCACAAATTTTAGTCCCTCGAGATTTAATCGGAACAGGAAATGCCTATTATGTCCGTATCAGCAGTACTGAATATAAGAAGACAACAGCCGCATGGTTTCCTGTTTACACTTCTTTTAGCTGAATACGAAAACAGAAGAATGAGGAAGAAGGCGTGGGAGCCAACAGTCCTGGTTCCGTGTAAAAATATACTTTTAACTAGCTGCTCATGCTGCAGGTTAGAAATATGTTTAAAAGAAGGGAAAAACATTTGGGATAACGTGTGTTGTCCATGCAAGAATAAAATCCTACTTTGTGCATCAAGTTTGACTTTAGAGAAGCTTTCTGTTAAACTTGATGGTGCCTGTATTGAATTTATTTGTATAAGGTTGTCATAATGCTAGAATGTTAAACTTTCATATGACACAAGAACATGTCAAATTATACCGACAACAGGTTCTGCAACAAAAGCAGAAGTCCTAGGCAAACAGTATGGGGATTTTCACCTTCCATTCAATGCATTTTCAATTTGTGCTGTGGTATTAGCCTGGCAAGTGGTTACTTACATCACAGACACTGTGGCCACCAAGCAACCTGAGAAGTCGCTGGCCTCAGTTTGTCAAACAAGACCTTTGGATGAAGGGCAAAGGGCTCGCATTTCTAAGGTCACAGGTTAAGGCCAGGCTTAGATTTAATTATCCTGGTAAGGTTACTAAAAAGGGAAGAACATACTGCAGCTATAATAATAATTAAAAAAAAATCAAGTATCTTCACAGTTAAAGTTCAGAAATGGTGGCTGATTGGGATATTAGCTTACTCAAATGTGAGAAATCAAAGAATGAATGCTATTGGATGAGAGTTATTTAAATTTGACTCCATGACTTCCAGTTTCTTAAACCTTACGAAACTTACACTTGATCTTGCATCAATGAAGCTGTTGGCACAAAAAAAAAAAAAAAAGTCTTTCAATTTGATGAATAAACTAAGATGAATCTGAATGAGCTATTTAAATGTGGCTACACTGCAGCTGAGTTAAAACGAAATTTAAGTGGTATTTTAATGTAAACTATCCAGATGACGGAGTGTTTAGTGAGGCTGTTAATGCTGCCATCTTGTTCACTGATTCTCACATGTAATTCTCCAAAGTACTGATGGTGCTGCTTCTCAGGTGTCTGGTTCTATGTCAGTGGCCGTTCGCCCTGTGACCTGTGTAAATGTCACAGTGAGGCTGGCATCTGAGTCAGCACAGATCCTGTTTAGGAATCCCTCTCTGGCCTATTATGGTGCCGTCACCTGCTAGGTCCCCCCCTGCTTCTTGGGCATGTCTGACATGTTCTGCTTCTGAAGCGGTGCGATCATTACATGGCTCTTGGTGCAGAAACTGGACTGAATATTGAATGAAATTATGGAAAAGTCCTGTGCAGTGAAATGTTGCATTGCTGTGTGACTGTTGACGCATAACCAACAGAGGCTGTATCAGTCGTAGAGATGTGGCAACATGTTTGAACTTGACATTATCACATGTGGACAAATGCCTGTGATGGTTGAACAAGCATTGAAAGCTTTTTGTTTTGTTTTTGTCTTTACCCCCAAATGCACAAATATCTTCCAACTCCATTGTTAAAGAAATACCATTGTAGAGGGAAGCACTTAGAAACCCTGATATATGGATGCAAATTGTTTTTATTTCTGTCCTTGAATTGAAATTAGGAGAGACTGGATTCACCACAACCCCCACCCCAAAGTTAGTCCCTCTCGTCTGTCCCTCCCTCATGTCTTATTACTGTTTTTTAACCTGCTATAAAAAGACTCAGCCAGTCTGCAGCTGTTAAGGGATAGCATGTCAACCATTCTCAAACAGCACACGGGGATGAACCTTACACTGGCTGCCTGTTAAGTAGCCTCAGAAGCGAACACAAAGTACCGGGTGTATGATCTTTCAGTTAGTGCTTTCTCTCTGTATGCAGCTCGTCACTAAGGCACTCTGCAAATTAATTGTGCGTACTGTCCCTTTAAGAAAGAACAGGGGACCCTTTGACGTCAGTGCAGTGGGAGATATTCCATGTTGTTTGTGAGGATGGAGCGAAATCACTTCAGTGTAGCTGTTGTGGATGTGTTTGTCTTCCTAAATGCACGCTCATTTCCTCAGCGGTATCAACAGCATGTGCTGCTGAATGGATCAATGTTGGAATCAACAGCACATGGAATTAAAAGGCGCAGAGCAGCCTGAATGAAAATGGCCTTGAAAATGAATGTAGGCGGAGGATCATACATTATGAGACTGAAGGCAAGACACCTGCAGTATAGAGTCAGAGCAAAGGGTCAAAATAAGAATCAGTTCTAGTAACATATTTATTGAAGAAGAACAGTTATGTCATGTTTTCAGTTCCATCAACAGCTACATGCCTTTGCACTAAGCAGAAAATGCCTGAACAACTGACAGTTTCCACCACTCCAACAGTATCTCTGACCACATGACAGTTCACCCTACAGTCTGTTATTCTCACTCTCCATCCCATTAAACCGCCCTGCCCACTCTTTCTCTCTGACATCTCTCTATTCGTCCCTCCCTCTGACAGTTAGACCCTCACGTCTCCTTCTCTCCTCTCCTCTATGGAGCATTGTCCTCTGTACTGACCTCTCTGTCGCGCTGTGGCTCTAGATCCCAATGCAAGGGGCTGCTGTCCCTAGATCCCCGTGTGTGTGTCTGCACAGTTCCTGCTGCACGGCAGCCCTCCCTCCCCCATGCTATGCCTTTTTATAGCTCAACTGAGCCTGCTCAGCCCATGTTGCATTCTGGGTAAGAGGGAGGAAGAACGGACAAGGAAGGAGGGAGGGGATGATAGACATGAGGAGGTAGGGGTGAAATTAGAGGCAGAGGGAGGGGAGGAGCTCAATGTAGGACTTTAAGACATTACCGTCATTAAGACTTAAATGTTGTGCTTCATTTATTTCTGGAGTCAAGGAGGAGATTAGGAATATAATGCCATGGCACTGTTGAAGTTGCATTAGTTATACTAGAAGTGTTTGTCCTTTTAGTTAGTGGTAAAAATTTAAATAATGACTCTCGTGTTTTTTATTAAGATGTTATACAAAGTGAATAATTATCACAGATTTAAAACATTGTTTACAGTCCTGCTAAATCTCTGTTAAGCAACGTGACTAAAAGTTAACCAACAGGTTCAGTTGGTTCTTTGTGCTTTGTTCAAATAAAGATTAGAGCTCTGGAAATCTAATCCAGTCAATGTTTTGTTGACTCATTTTCAAATGTACTAAATGTCTGATTTCTCCTTGCTTTAGAGGTCAGTGCTACTCTAAGTTTGAAAAGAGGAATTCTTTCTTTAGCCAATAAATATAAACCAAGCCCGGGGAAACATCTGAAACATTTTATTCAAAGCATGAAGGGACATATTCATGTCCTCAAATGGAACATAAATACAAAATATATTTACATGTACAAATTATGGCAGAGACAAATACAAGCGTACCAGGTACCGTCTAACAATGTTAATTCACAAAAAAGAAAAAGAAATAGAAATATTAACTTTAGCTCCCACTGTCTTGTTTTATCAAAGAGAGGCGAATCAAACATATAAACTTGGAACATGATCCGCCCTGGTTCAGAGTACTAAGGTTCATAAGCTTTGAGGTACAAAAACGAGGTATGCACTAACTCTCAATAAAAAGCAAGCCCAAAAAGGTAAGGTGGAGTACTTTTTAGTACAGTACCATAACACATAGAAATCCTGTCTGCAGTTTGTGATTCTCTTTGTCAGCCTTCAGATGGATAGAGATGTAGCCTGAGCTTTGACTGATTTTGATAATGCACTCTAATCTTGGCCACATGTATGGTCACACATTTCAACACTGTCTCACCTCCAAAAAAATGTTTATTGGCTACGTTTTGGTACGAGACCTTCATCAAGGTCAAGAGGTCAAGTACTGAAAAGTTTGCCTGATGAAGGTTTAGTATCGAAACCTTGCCATTAAATGTTGCCAATACCACATTTTTTTGGAACAATAAAATATGTATAGTTGTTTTTCTTTAAGAAGGTTCATGAGTTTGGTTGCATTTTTTGGTGATCATGGTATCGGTTATCACCATGGTTTGATTTTTACCTGCATCTCTTTAAAGTTCTCTTATGGAGAGCAGGGAATGTTTGAGTCCACCAAATAGACAAGGTAAAGTAATACAAGGTTTTAACCACAGGGTGGCAGCATAACCTAGGATAAATGTGTCCGTTTTGCTCATGGTATTAGATTCTTTACAAAAGGGCATCCATATTATCCATCTGCTTCTATTCCTATGTTACGTCACAGTCGTGATGGCATGAAGCAATAGTCTGTTATCAGATGTAGAGAACATCACGGGCAGCAGCTAGCGTTACTTCAGAAGCCAAGCAGAAACATTGATAGGAGCTTGAATTATCCCAAAGCTCTACTCTTGAATATAAAAGAAAGCAGCTGTATCGGATCATTTTCTCAGTATCCTTGGATTCTACAAACTGTCACGACGTATGCCTGTTTATAAATGCACATAAAGAACCAGTTGTCATTCGGCCTGTCCATTTAAACAAATCTCATTGTTTTGTCTAAGCCAGAAAACGTAAAGCACAGTGGGTGGAAGGTTTGAACTGATCAATACGGTTAAACAATGTACGCACATCCCGAATACTGATACTGCACCGATAACACCAGTTTTCTATGAGTGGTGGGAACCATGAAAGTAGAATGATTAAAGCAGCGTAGTAAGAGTGTCATTGAACAGACGCACTTTGAAATTCAACCTGTTCGATAAAGACAGTTGGTCCGTAAAATATCATTAAAGTCTTTATATGAAACAGGTTTGAGTTTCAGTGCGATAATGTATCTCTTAAGTTTTTCATTTTGTTTTCTGTTTCTGTCATTTATTCTTTGTGATTTCCACAACTCGTGCTCTAAGTCCCCATAATAACACTGTATGCCAAATCATGTGTTACCATAGTAACACTTCTGACACCATGGAATACAATCTTGAGTCTGAAAAAAATGCTGATTAAGGCATTGGATTGAACAACCTATTTCATTTTTGTCATCATGTCCCAAAAACGTACTCTCTCCATCCCCTCGCCGTAAGCTTAGATCCTGCCTGCTTTCCTGTTATATTTACACATATAGAGCTTAATACACTGAGCAAACATTTGACAGGGCACCACCTATTGCACATGAAATGTATCTTGTTATTTAAAAATCTTGTTAGTTCACCCTTCGGTGGCGTCTTTAAATGTTGGCTCAACTTTCTGTCATTTCTTCTCTTTGACTTGAATTGACGCAGCGTAGAGTTACAAAGTTCTAGCTGGAAAGACCACTGGGTGAGTCTGGCTCAGGGGACGGAGGGCTGTCCTCGTCATCTTCTGGCAGCTGGACGCGCTGCTCGTCCATACGCTTCGCCTGCACCCTCTGGATTAGACTGAAGAAGTCTTCATCAGGCACTGTGGGGGCGTGGGGGCCGGCTTCTGGTGGGGAGCACCTCTGATCATCAATCCGGGAGGACTGCAGTCGGGAAGATGCACAAATTAATTACCAGGACTCTCTGATTAACAAAGTGATTAAAAATCTGAGAAGACTTAAGCACTTGTTATATGCTATAATCAAGTCCTTACCTGGCACTTGATTAGCATGTTGAAGAAGTCGTCGCTCGGTTCTTGATGATCTCCTTCGCCCACCAGGTGTCCCAGATTGTTGTGGGTAATCCTCAAGCCTGGAAGATTCCCAACGTTAACCCTCTGATCATCAAGACGGCGACTCTGAGAGCTGGCAATCAAGTCAAACAGCTCCTCAGTCTGGGGGGAGGTTGTAATTGAAGGATCTAGAAAAAGAGCCAAGAGCCTCATGAGTTCATGTGTATTTTAAAAAAAGGAGATTTATACGTCCTTGAAGACAAAGACCTGCCCAGGTGAACAGTTCTCAACAACCGACCTATCATCTCGTTCAGCGCTGGCATCGAGTTTGCCGCACCTTCTCCGATGTCTCCGTTTTGAGGCTCGTCAAGATCGCAGCGCTGGTCATCCATGCGGCTGCTCTGGAACTTACTGAGGAGGTCGAAGAAGCAGTCCTCATCTGAGGGGTCACGGCCCAGCTTCTGGAAGAAAAACCACAAATTAGTAAAGACAGACCCATGTATCTGATTTGTACTTCAAGGTTAATTCACTGTAGGGGAATGCAGCTTAAGTAGCCCATGATCATAGAGTCATGATGTGCAGATAAAATAATTAAACTTTAGACCTGTAATTTACTCAGAAAGGACTTTCATGCTGAGAATACCTTGGCCTAGATACTGAAGGTGGTCCAATGCCATAAATATCATGTTAAAAAAAAAAAAAACACCACCTATTAGCGTTTAAGTTAAATGGCCCTCACAGTGGTGCCCTATAAAAACATATGGATGCATCAACTGATACAGCTCTAGCCATGATAGACTGCAGAAAGATACCAGTTGATGAGTTAGCGTGAATTCAGTAGTGACACTTTTCACAAGTGATGTACGCAATAATCAACGAAACGTTTCAATGTTGTCACTTCTGCAGCCAGATTTACTGGTGGTTTAAACTAATTGCTAATTCTTTTATTAATGTATTGCCCACAAAGCTGGTTAAATGCATCTTAAGCTGTAACACTACCAACTGCCAATAGTTGGGCATAAAGCTCTGATTAACTGGCATTTAAGCTCCTAATGAAAGGAGCAATGTACAATCAAATTCAGCACAGGCATGTAGACGTTAACCTGCAAAGATGACCGGGCGCTGGTGATGATAATGTTGGCCACACTTTGCAGAGTTATGCACATTACAAAGTGCCACACATTTCATTGTCATTTAAAAACAGCCACCTTTGTTATGGAAGACTGTGATGAGCTGTTTTAAACTGCAATAAAATAAGCTAAATGGTTTTAGAAAATGTTCCTACCCCTGACTAGTCAGCCAGTCTAAATTTAAATTTACATTTAATCCACAGGGACAATAGTTGCTACAAACATACCTAATCTTCACTGCTTTAAATTGTCTTTTTGGTTATTTACGTTCTTTACCAATTATGGAAAAAATGAGAAGCTCCTTTACCAACTTTCATCAGTCAAAGCTTTCAAACATGAGCTGAGGAATGGTGAAACAAGGACTGTGGTATCAGGTACTGCAGAACATGAGAATATACACTGTGGCTCTAATCACTGATCAGCCAATAAATGACCCAGTCACTGTGTGTCTGCAGTCTTTTTCTGCATATTTACCAAGAGTCAGCCTCTGATGGTGATCTGTCCATTGTTTGTTTTCAGATAACATCAAGATTTTCACTCTCACATGGTACTGAAAGAGACTTCTTTCTTTCTCACTGTGGCTGTGATCACGCTTTGCTGCTAGAGTGGATTACTAGTGCTTAAAAAAAAAATGGAATATCTAGAATTACAAGAGTGATCACAGCAGATGCAGTATTATCATTGCATATTTATAGCAACGACAATGAGAAGAAATGTTCACATACGTACAGGAGAGATATGAAACACAAGAGGTCTCGACCAACAAAGAAGTATTTCTTTCATAGAAAAAAAGGCAGATCATTGTATTTGTAAAGGAACCAACGAGAGTTTAGGACCCATTTTAGTGCTCACGTCTGACATAACATCTCACAATTTACTACAAATGAACACATTGATAAGGAATCTTCAACAAAATGTCCCAGAGCAAGTTTATGGGAGGTAGAAACCCAAGCTTCA